AAAACCAAGTTTCTCTTCGTATCTGCATTAGACAAGTTTTACTGAGAAGATAATTTAGTCATTCTTTTTAATAGCGTACAGTTACATTCACAGCGCTATCATTTTAAACAGGTTAATTGCATCTGATATAAAAGAGAGCTAAAGGGATAAAATGGAAGAAACACAATCCACTCCCGCTGGGGGTGTTGATAAGAATGATGCAAAGTCTAAATTGCAGATCATCCTGGATGAGAACAACTTTTGGAAAAGCAAGGCTATGTGAAATTAAATGGAAGCATCAGCTCTACTCATATCATCGTGGGCAAATTCTACTACCAGTCCTTCATCACCTTAAACGAAATAGTGTGAATACATTTCATATTACTGATTTACCGGTAGTCTCGAAACTCTACTTAAATACGAAAAATAACATTTAAAATTCAGAACAAAAGACCTTATAACAATACTTTCCTTTTGAGGGGAATTAATAATATCTCGGGAACAATTAGCACTAAATAGAGATAAAGAGGAATAGTGTTACGAAAATTCTCTTTAGAAATGCATGTTCCCTAGCTTGTATTTATGTAATAAAGGGTGGGTGGACGTAATTAGTCAAGTAGCCTCACCAGAACCCGAAGGAGAATTGCTTTCAAAGTATGACTGCTGGTCTATGACCATAAGTCGTCAGCGCAAAAACCAAACTTCACAAACTCCATGATAAAACAGACCTATTGTCAGCCTACTATCCCTAATCTTCGCCATGTCTATCCTGTTTCCATTTCTAATACTAAGTCTATAACGTTCTATGCCCTAGTCTCTTGTGTGCAAACATACAAATGTTGTGGTACTGCTTGCTTTGCTTAGGTTTGAGGTTTATGGGGCAGGAGGTAGACTCTGATAAGACCTAGGGAAGGAGGACTGCGTAACAATATGGCAGACTCTGATCAACATTCCCAGCAAAAGGGTGAAGGGGGTGAGAACGACAGCGTGGAGTGTGAAGGGTTTTCATGAATGCCGCTTAAAGGAGCACACCACACTCTATTGAAATAAGCACGGTAAAAGTTGTAACAGTGAATGCGTGATTGGAGGATATAGGAAATGTGAATAGATTAAGGCAGAAGGAGAGATACCG